CACCCTTCCCCACCGGACACCCTACTCCAGTCAGATTAGCGGAGCTGCCTTACAGTTTGCCAAGCCTGCCAGGTACATTGCTGCTTGCAGGGGTTTTGCATTTGCTGTGCCCTCTGCCATTAACACTCTTCCCAAATCACTTAAGTGGTTTGCTTCCTCCCTTCGTCCGCATCTCCGCTCAAATGTCTCCTTTCCAGAAAACCCCCACCATTCAATCTCCATCCCCTTACTTACTCCATATTTCATTATAGCCCTTCTCACTATGTGATGTTGATTTGTTTATTATGAGCATGTCTGCAATTAGCATGTAAGCTCCATGACTGCAAGGCATATAGTAAGTATTGAATATATATCTGTTGACTGAATTAATGACTACTGTCCTAGAGATTAGATCTACTGCCTTTGCTCATTCTTTCACTGAATGCATAAGTGTACAGCTGGCCATGTGATATTTTATTTTTTATTGGTTTAAGCTACTCCCTGACTATCTAGCCAAAGCTTATGCCAGTTTCATAGCAGTAGAAAGTAAGGGAGGCAGGGTCCTCATTACCTAGTACCACACCCTAGTATCCTGATGAAATCAAGATGCACTCATAACTTTGATCTAAACTACTCAAGTCTGTTTTTCTTGTTTTTCACAATTGACATGCTCTGGGCAAGTCTGTTCAAAAATAATCTTGTATATTGCCTCAGTTTCCCTAGTGTAATGAGAACAAGATGGGGCCTGGGAGAAGTAGACTAAAGCAGACAAGCCTATACTTTCCCATTCTCTCTCTCAGATGCCACCTCATCCCCATTCATGAGGACTGACACATGTGTGGATGGCTGCCACATTCTTTTGTGTTACAAATCAAGTCATCTGAACCTCTGGGGACACTGACCCCACCACCCTACAGGTTGCTGTCTATTGCTAAGGCCTGCATTTCTGGCTCCTGGGCCACTCCTCAACCGCTAGTAGGAGAAAAAGATGTCATAACACATAGTAATTAAAATCCTAGTAATTGGCAAAGATTGGCTTGATGTTCTTAGAATCATCTAGTCTAGTGGTTCTCAGACCTGGTTAGTTAACAGAATCACCTGGGCAGCTTTAGAGAAATTCAGGTTCCCAGGTTTCTCTCTAACCTTGCGGCTAGGAAAGAGCTGTGGTGTGGTTGGTATACACATCTATACACACAGTCTCACTCCATCTCCTCTCTTTCTTTAGCAGATCTTGTATAATGTTATGAAGCAAACCAACTAAGGGCAGGAAAAGTAGGAGGGGAGATGTTGGGGAAGGGTTTTCTGAGGAGGTAACATTTAGTGTGCCATGGCAAATATTAGGGGAATAACATTTCGGGCAGGACATAATGTGGAGTGTTGATGGAATTAAAAGGAGACCAGTGTGGCTGGAGCACAGGAGTGACCAGAGGAAGAGCTTGGGGTGTGGCGGGAGGGAGGACACAGACCACATCACAGAAGGTTTGCAGACAAGGTTGAAGGGTTTGGGTTTTGTTCCCAGTACTCATGTCTCCCTGAGAACTTTGAGCACTGCCTGGAGAATGGGTTGCAGGAGCCCAAAAGTGGAAGCTGTGAGACTATACTGTCCTCTGATGGTGAAGGGGACTAAAGTGCTGGCACCCAAGATGGAGAGGAGAGGGTGGTTTCAGGGCATGTAGTTTAAGAAAGTCAACAGAATTTTCTAATGAGTGGGTGAGGGAGAGGGTGGGGGAAACAATGATGCCGAGGGGGTTCTACTGGAGGCAGTATAGGGTGTGGTTGAGCACCCCAGTCGCCTCATCTGTAAAATGGCAGTATTAAGGGACCACCCCACTGGGTCAGTGGTGAATTGATATTTGTAAAGCACTTAGAACAGAGCTTGGCACACAGTAAAACACTCTGTAAGTATTAGTGGTGATGCGGATGACGGTGATTCGTCCAAGGTCGCACAGCTGGTCAGCAGCAGGTCCAGGACTAGAAGCCAGGGCTTAGTTTCTTGGTTCATTGTATTTTATGCTACACTGAGCTGCCTCCTTCAATTACCTTTGAACTTTTTTATTTTTGCAGACTCTGGTAGAGGGTTTGGTTGTTGTGGTACTTAAAGAGTCACACATCATAACATGAATGTCGCAACAAACATGATAAATTACTCAAGTGTTCTGTGCATCCCAGAATTCCATATTATTCCATATAAACCATGTTATCCCAGACAAAACACAGGGCCCAGATAGTGAGAGAAAGGGGTACAGGAAGAGAGATTTTTTTTCATCAATCCTCACCCAAGGATATTTTTGCCATTGATTTTCAGAGAGAATGGAAGGGAGGGAGAGAGGGAGAGAGAGAGAGAGAGAGAGAGACATATCAATCGGTTGCCTCCTGTACATGCCCTGACTGGGGCTGGGGATCAAACCTGCAACCCAGATACATGCCCTTGCCCAGGAATCAAACCAATGACCCTTTGGTGTTCGGGCAGACACTCCAACCACTGAGCAATGCCAGCCAGGCCAGGAAGAGAGATTTTTAAATATTAAAAGAAATATCTTCTAGAATATAGATATGCTCATGTCATGTACATGCGTAGGCTGGAGCAGGCACATCTACTGCAACAGGAGTCCTTCACACCGGAAGTTATAGGTCAGTGCATGCCAAGGGAGGGAAGAAATAAAGCTCAGAATGTTAGTGTAACTCCCCTATATTGTCAGGTTCCTAGTGATACATCTTAAAGAAGTGTTTGAAGTGCTTCTATCTGTCAGTTTCAACTAAGCTAATTTTTAAAAATTGCTCTTTGTACTGTGCCTTTCTCATGAACCTCTGTGAATTTAATGCATGCAATATGTGGGGGGAAATCCTATCAGCCTCAGTTCCCATCCCCCCCCCAAAGTCTGAGAAGCAGATTTTATTTAGAAGTACATTGTTGCACCTGCAAGGATTTTGTCATTTTACAAAATGGACCTGAGACCCTGTTCAGTGTGTCTTGTAGGAAGGAATTTCAGAAACAGGTGAGAGAAAATGCCAACTTGGCCCTGCCTCCCTGCTGTTGACTATTTTGTTGCACTTCTGTCTCAAACAGCATGGGGAGGACTGTTCTTCATTACCAGGGAATGTGAGTCATTCCCAGACTTGTGTGATTGGGATTCCAAAGCGTTGCTGTATCCGATGGTCTTATTAAATCCAAGTGTCAGTGCAGCCTTTCAGACTGTAGGGGAGAGCTCAGTTACAGCTGGTGACCTGGTTCTAGTTACCACACAGAGACACTGGCGAGAACAGTGACCCCCTCCGAGCACCCAGAATTCCTCATGGATGGCTGTTACCAACTGTTCCCAGATTTGGGGGTTTCCTGGTTCACTTCGTGGGCTTCAATACATTTCAACTACATGTTTATATCTTAGTTGGAATCTGTATACTTTAAGGGAAAATGTTCTAGTGTATGTAGACAAACTAGTGCCAAGATTAGCCCAGCATTTGGAAGGCACCTTGATTCAGATTTACTCAGCCCTAGCAATTTTAATTTTGCTATGTCCAGGATCTAGCAAGACACTATCCATTTCCAGCTTGGTCCAAACAAAACAAATAAAACATCAACCAGAGAGGGAGGAGACCATAGATGTTGCCAAAAAATTAGTTTGCTCTGTCTTTTCTTTCTCCTAGAATGTTTCACAGCCAATGGTGCAGATTATAGGGGAACGCAGAACTGGACGGCACTACAAGGCGGGAAGCCATGTCTCTTCTGGAACGAGACTTTCCAGCATCCATACAATACTCTGAAATACCCCAACGGGGAGGGGGGCCTTGGCGAGCATAACTATTGCAGGTAAGATGGGGCTACACAGTACTTAAAAGATAAATCTCTGGTCTCCTCTTCCAATTTTTTACAACCTTGCTCACAACTAGGGAAAGCATCTTTGTCTCCTTTTGGCCAACTCAGAGGCATTTCTTGTTACGATTTTTTAAATCTTTCTCTCACACCCACACATACAACCTCCCACTCGTTTCAACTTGGGTTGCTTTGACACTGATTTCCAGAGCTCTACTTTCCTGTCTGGTCACTTATATGTCTCTCTGGGACGGTTTTCTTAGTTGGCCCCTCCACCAGCGGGCAATCACAGACAGCAAAGCTTCTTAAGCTGCTGTGAATGTGGCCATCAAGCAAAAGCACCATCTGTGGCCCAAATCTCCCTCTGCTTCTGAGCAAAAAAACTGCCCTGCATTATCCACTTTTTGCCAGCCCAGGATAGCCTTTCTCTGGGAGCAGCGGAAGCCATCAAATTTGTGCTGTTTCCTTCCTTTCAATAGACAGGTGTTTCTTTGCTCTTCACCTGTTTAATTCTAGCAAGGGCTCTTAACCTGAGATCCACGATGCTTCAAGTGTGTACTTGCAATTTGCAGGGAGATGATCCATGACTTTGATCAGATTCTCAGTTATTAGAGATCCAAAACAAGTAAAGAATTATTGGTCTGTAGGGACCAGAGCAAAAATTCTAAGCACTTTTGGGTATAGTTTTGTTTTAGATGTTTATACCCAAGATCCTGGTAATGTGACTCATGGTTCAGGAATGTGCTGAATTTAATTATTATTGGGACAGGTGCAAAGGCAGCCTCTTGAGCCATTGGGACAGGGAAAAATGATTCTTGAGCTACACTTCTAGCTATACACAGTGTCCCTGGTTCCACCAGTATGTTAGAATCTCACCCATGGCATGTTGACCCAGCTGAGCCAACATATTTATACTTGCATTGCATAGGCCACACTGTTTACCTTTTGCCCTCTCTACATGTTTTTGTTAACACTCTAGGACCCTTGTGGTTGTCTTGAAGTCACCAGGCCTGTAGTCCATGTTCATTATCCCTGTGCATTCAGCTCTTTCCTTCACCTCTGTCCTAACTTGTACCAACTGGCCATTCTCCCATAGTTGTGTTGCATTATTTTCTAGTTTGTTACTATAAAAATATTAAAAGCTTTTCCAAAAAAATTATCAAAAACTACAGGCATATATTGTTTAAATAAAGTCCCCCATTTTACGTCTTTCCCCGCAAATTCCCCCCACCAAGCCCCACTTCCCAGAGGTAACAATTTGTATATATGCTGCTTCACATTTTGCTGTCTCTTGTATTTTATTGTTAAAGTTACACGTGCTCATTAAGAAATTCTTTTACAATTTATTTTTAAAGCTATACATGTTCATTAAAACTTTTTTCATAATTAAAAATTTAACCCCACTCCATTCTGGTTTATTTCCTTCCCCTAGTTTTTCTATTCATAGGAACAGTTGGGTTGGGAAGAGTGTTTAGGAAGAGAAACCAGTGTTTGTTTTTTGTTTTTACATAGTTACTTATATTCCTTTTTTTCAATATATTTTTATTGATTTCAGAGAGAGAGAGGAAAGGGAGAGAGAGAGAGAGAAGCATCGGTGATGAGAGAGAGTCATTGATCGACTGCCTCCTGCCAGAGATCCAGCCCACAACCCGGGCATGTGCCCTGACAGGGAATTGAACCGTGACCTGCTGGATCATAGGTTGATGCTCAACCGCCGAGCCATGCCAGCTGGGGAGTTACTTATATATTCTTGTTCTAAAGTGTATCTCAGTAGTGGGCCACTGGTTTGTCCTATTATTCTGTTGCTTTCTATCAAGCAAGTCTTCTCATAAGAGCTCCTGTTTTTAAGTCTGACATTAAGGTAAATTTGAAATTTCCAATGGGGTTTAATTTATATGAAAAAAATCTTTTTTCATGGATCAGCACCATGTTCTCCCCATAGGCTCCCACAAACTCAGTAGTATTCATTAAGAGAGCAGTGAGAGCCAGGGACGACCAACTTCCTCCTTAGCCCTAGCTGGCTGCAGCCCTCTCCTGCATTGATTTGATGGAATGTACCAGACCTGATCTCCCAGTTTATACTTCAAAAAAGAGAGGCTGACATTGTTGACTGTTATCACATCAGAGAGTCTGGGCCTTTTGTTTTTAGCACTGCAGTGAAGTCAAAGATGAATTCGCTTTTTCTTTATTAAGCTATTCTGATGCTTTTCAGAATGGTTTTGACATTGATAACAAACAGTTGTTTTCTAAGGCCTTTACCAAATACTACATCAAAGCTGAGTACTGAATAGAGGGAGGAAAATGACAGTGAAATACTGTTTGAAGAAGGGCTTTGTACAAGTTCTCCTGCTTTGATTTCTCAGCTGACATCCGACACTGTTTGTCTTGTGTGATGTTTCCAGATCCATCACAGTTGAGATGTCTGAGAGATGGCGAGTGATGGGAACGCACTTTTCTGGGCTCGACATATCTGGATTAGAGGGAAGACAGACAGACTGGGAAGAGCAGAATTGGCACTGGCACCTGCCTTTGGGCACAAAAAATAAAAGGACCCTTTGTGCTTCGGCGCGGCTTATCTTCTGGGCCACACAATAGACTTATCCCTCTCGGGCCTGATAGGGGCTGCTCCAAAGCTCCGGCTGCTGGGTCTTTATGCCCATTTCCGGCCTAACCGGAGTGTCAGGTTTCCAGTGTTCTGAGTCTAAATAAAGGGAGCTTGGAAAGCAATGAAGAGAGGGAGGCTTTTCTGTGTGTCCAGTAACCCCTGCCCCTTTTTGTTCTGTTTCTTCGGTGTTGCCGTTTATTGTCATGGCATCTCTGAGTTGAAAAGACCTTAAAGGGCATTTATTCCAAGCCACTCATTTAGAAATGTGAAATTAACCTTTTAAAAATATTATTGCTATATCAGAAGTCGTTACCAGGATTACAGGATTGTAGGTTCTGATTGAAATGCTTTGGCCTAGTTTTCTTCAGAACTCTCTGAGAAGTTAGTATTTTGAGGGTAGGAATAGGACCCATTTTTTTTTCTTTTTTATTGAATTTATTGGGGTGACATTGGTTAATAAAATTATATATGTTTCGGGGGTACAGTTCTTTAATACATCTTCTGTATATTGTATTGTGTTCACCACCCCAGGGACCCATTTCTATGAAACATAAGTTGACCAGCCTGATCCTGGTGAAAGCTCCTCAATAGAGCCTACATTATGTAAATTTTCCATATTAATAAAATGTGTCTCTACACCACGTTTTAACTAGCGCCTTGCATTCCCTTATGTGGCTATAACATATTTATTTAACCAATCCTTACTTGTTTTTTCTAACTTTTTTTTGTATTATAAAAATGCTGTGGTGAACATCTTTATAAATAATAAAGATTTTCTTAGAATAAAGTACTAAAGGAGAAATTGCCAAGTAAAGAGGGTTTGCCTATTTTAGGGCCTTTCACTCTGATTACCAAATCACCATCCTGACCATTCGCATCATTCCCATCTCTATCCACAGTATCAAGAGAGCACCTGTGCCCTTTCAGCCGTGGGAATTGCCATGTTCATACTTAAAGTGCCAATGCTGTTTGTCATGATTTGTTCAGTGGTCAGTTGTCCTGGTTACACTGTTTTGAATTTGTATAAACATGTATCACCTTTGCTTACTCTCCCCTATCCTCTCCTGCCCCCAAACTTTGAAGTATATGTTGGAGGAGAAAGATATTACCAATTTTTTCTTCATAAGAGGTGGCATTGAGATACATACCAATTATGAGAAATAACAAAAGTTGAAATATTCCTATTGGTAAAATGGAAAAGCAATGAGCCAGCTGACTTAAAATGATGGAAATGTTACTGGTATGTTCTTTACCCCAACAGAAATCCAGATGGAGATGTGAGCCCCTGGTGCTACGTGGCAGAGCATGAGGACGGTGTCTACTGGAAGTACTGCGAGATACCTGCTTGCCAGAGTAAGACCCTAATGCACCACCTGCAAGTTTCATGACACTGAACACTAAGAGTGCAGAGTGGAAAGCTGCTGCCGGAGGGCAGGTAGTTCAGGCAGGTGGATTTCATGAAGCAGGTGAAGGGAGATCCCATTTCCTTGATGGATAAACTCAACCGAAATGTCTACTTCTCCCCAGTTTCCTTGCTCTTATTTCACAGGTAGAGGTGGCAACAGTAGCTCTGTAGCAGCCAAAGAAAGTACCGTGTACTTTTGTGAATGAATTTTTTTTAGAATGAATGAAGACAGTAAAACTAACTTATGACACTACCTATTATTTGGATTTAATGTGATATATCCCCTGAAAAATGATATTTAGTAAATATTTAATTAGATACCCTCCAAAGCCAATGTGATAGCTCTTTTCCTTACATTAGCATAAAGAGGTTCTGTTGTTTTTCATGAAAACTTACAACTTGTCCCTTTTACTACCAAAAAACCCCCAGTTTCTTCAGTCTTTTATTATGAGGCCTGTTTTCTAACAGTTTCACTCATTTATTCCTATATTCCGTGTTTATGATAGGCAAGATACAAAGGCAGGAAGATGCCCTGACCCTCAGAAAATATAGGATGTGGCAGGGAATCGTAGAAAGATACTTTAAAACAAGATAGAATATATTGTGGGAAGATTTAAAGTACAGAAACCAAAACTAAACATGGTACTATAAGGAGGTTACAAATGTAGTGTTTGTAATATCTTTCTAAATATGCCAAAGGGGCAGGGTTTCTGAGTTACTAGAGCTGAAGAGCAGGACATAATAACAATAATAATAATAATCATAATAATTCTACCTGGGTTATTTTTTCCTTGTTATTTAAACCTGCTCCTTGCCCTGCCTCCTTCCTCACCCCTCAGGTCAAGAGTCTGTGTATATAGAGGGATATGGTGGTTTGCATGGAACCGGGGACCCCCTCACTTGCTCTCACTGCAGCAATCCATATTCTGGTGCCTCAAGGGGAAAGGGCATCCCCTAAACTAGTGCTGTAGGCCCAGTACTCACCTTTCATAAGTTAAACTTCCAAATGTCACCCCTTCCTGGCAGTGAGGCCCTAGCTTCCCTATCCTTCCAACCTGAGTATGTCTTGATTCAGTCCCAGAATTGAGAAAACAGTAAAGACCAGAAGAAAAGGCTTTTGCTCAGTCAGCTTAATCAAATTTTTTAAATGAAAAACATCTCATTTGGCCCTAGTTATGTAAAGAAGAAAGGGGCAGGGGGAGAGGAAAGCAGATTTTCCTCGGTCCATTTGTTCGACACAAAGATAGTCTTTTAGTACCAGCCTATGTCATTCTCTCAGGAATGGCAAAGAGGGGATTTCAATCTGGGCACTTTTATTTGGAAAGATAATCCTCAACTTGCATTTATAAAATATAATTTGGGCCAATGGGAGCTGACTCAATGTGGTCACTGAAAACTAAGTTTCAGAAGAGAGAATTAGAGCAAAAGTGGTACAAGCCACCTAGTACCCCTCTAATTCATAATATTTGTTGGATGTGCCTTGCTGTTCCAAAAAAAGGAAAATTTAATATCATTTCCTCTTTTATGGCCCTTTGGTAACCCTCTCAAAGCTTCTAAAGCTGGCCTTGAAATGGTCTCAGTAGGGAGACTTACAGAAACTGGGAATAAGAACTGGGGAGTACCTAGTTTGAGGGAGTGGGGAATGGCTGGCTTTGGTTCTTTGGAAAAGCCTTACGTTCACCCTGTGGGCACCACGGCTCCCCACCAAAGCTGAGCCTCAAACCTTGAGTCTGGCAGGACATTGTGCATCTCGTGTATCTGATTAACATAGTTGAGAAAAACTCCTGTGATATTTGCAGCAAGAGACCTTGGTAATTGCCTAGTGGGCTCAACTGAGATACAGCCTGCCTATTTTAGTACATTTTGCCCTATTTCTGGATGTGGAGTCATAATTTTCATGAATAATACTAACCCTCTGTGTGAAGCCCGCTATTCATGATTAGCACTGAACTTGTCATACAGGAAAAGGCCTGTGACATGATCAGACTCCTGGAAAGTTCATATCTGAATATAACAGACCCAGCAGGAGCCAGGGGGAGTGAATGGTTAGGGACAAAGCAGACTGTGGTTGAATGGTGGGCCATTGTGTGAAGACTGGAATCTCTGCCCCTTGGCGTGTTACGTAGAGAGCTAAAACGGGCAGGGAGGCAGAGAGGCAGGACCACTCAAAAGGGGGCCCAGGGAAATTTGAACTGCTCGTGACTTACGGAGCACGGATCAGAACTTACTGTTAAAAGGATAACACTTTGAGGTAATTGGATTTGCTCTTTAAGCCACTTCTGCCCATGTGTTTCTCAGAAACCCCAAGTTTTTAGTGCAGGCAAAAAAACACAGATTTTTAAAAGCAAATTCCAACACCATCAAATTTATCATCCTTCTAGATTCCACTCTAAATCTGTAAGTCCTGCTGGTTTGACTGTTGAGGGGGAAATCATTTGACTTAAAATCTATCCTTTGCATATCTCTCTTTTGTAAAAAACTATCCGCACCATTCTAATTTCCATTTATTTCACTGCTTTTGAGGGACATGCTTGTATGGACCTCAGCATTGCTTTTGCTTTGCTCTATTTTATCTATGGGTTCTTTATAACAGTTTGTTGTGTTTTTTTAAGTAAATAATCTAGTTGTGAGCAGGGAGAGGAACCTGCAAATGGCATTAAAGACAAGTATAATTTTCTTCACACACAGCTGATTTAGGCCACAGGCATGAGAAACTTACCTTCTCATCTCTGAGAGCTAGTTTTCATTTGCTATAAAACATTCACCTGATTTCTACAAACCCAACTATAAAAATTCATCTTTGAAATAATTAGTGAAATTTGAATATAGACTGTTAGATTATATTAAGCAATCACTGTTCATTTTATTAGGTATAATAAAGTTCTTTTCAATTATAGATATGTACTGAAATATTTGTGGTTGAAATAATATTATATCTGGGATTTGTTTTAAAACAGTCCAGCCTCCCCAAAAGTAAGTGGGTGGAGTGAGGGAAATAGATGTAACAAGAATGTTTTTTTAAAAAAGTGGACATTTGGCCCTGGCCGGTGTGGCACTGAAAGGTTGCCAGTTCGATTCCCAGTCAGGGCACATGTCCAGGCTGTGGGTTTGATCCCTGGTAGGGCATGTGCAGGAGGCAGTCGATCAATGTTTCCCTTTCACAATGTTTCTCTCTCTCCCTCTCCCTCCCTCTCTAAAAATCTATTTAAAAAATAATAATCTGAGAATCAAAAAAAAAGTAGACATTTGTTGATGTGGGGTGACAGGCTCATCATTCTTTCCTACTTTTGTGTATATTTGAAAGTTTCCATTGCAAAATATAAATTTTATAATATGTATTTTTTTAAAATGCGTACATACAACATTCAAAGTATCTGGATTCAAATGTGTAACAAGAGTAACCTAAAAGGTAATACTTTTACATGTAGCTCACAGGCATCTGTGTTAGTTATTAAAATTAGTGATTACAGTTTTTGTTATTGAAGTTAATAAAGCTATTAGTTATTTAAAGTTACTAAAACTGTTATTTAAGTTAGTTATTATTAAAGTTAAAGCTAGTTATTAAAGATAGTTATTTAAAGTTAGTTACTAAAGTTTAAAATCACAAGGACTTTAGAGGCTATTGGCTGTGACAAATAACACATTTTGTGCTCTGACCGTATGTGAAACCTTATACAGCATAGGGAATACAAGGATGGCATGGTCTGCAGCCTGTGGTGGGAAGCCCCTAGTCTAGAACTGAAGACTGGCACATAAACAATAGGCATATGTAAGATACTCTATAATAAGTGAGCTGAGCAAAAGGCTGGGAGCACCAAAGAGGGGCAGCTGCCCTGACATCTGTTTGTCACAGAGGGCTTCTCCAACATTAAGTTTCCTTATAAAAATGTAGTCGTACAGTCACCAGGGATCTTACTCAGAAGCAGATTCTGATTCAGTAGGTCTGGGATCCACTGGTGACTCTCTATTTCTAACAAGCCCCTGGGATGCTGGAGCTGCAGGGCCACACTTTTTAGTAGCCAGGCTCTAGATGTTAGGTCAAGTCGAGCAAGGAGGACATTGGAGGCAGAGGGAACAGTTTGTGTGCACACGCACACACACACGTGTGCACACAAACACACAAATTCCCAAGCAAAGTCATTGTTGCTGAGACTGAAATTTTAAGAAGGAAGGCAGGAGATGAGGTCTGAGAAGAATTAAGTGGAGCCTGATAATGGAAGGTCTATGGTCTGCGTCTGGAGCCTGGACTTGACCCAGGTAGATGGTGATGAGGCTGAGGAGCATGGAGTGTCAGAAGGAGACTTTTCTCCATAGTTTCCTAAGCCTCCATATTAAGGATTTAGGGCGAAACTTCTTCCTGTTAATCTGTGAGACGTTCTCTAGTGATTGTATCATTCACACAGACCATCCCTGCGAGGATGCCAGTGATAGCACCTGTGCAATATGGGGCCTTTGGTCAATCTCTGGCAGTGACCTCACTGGCTCAAGTTCCTTTTAATTAAATAGCACCATGGCCTTGTTAAAACAGGTCTGTGTTCCTTACAAAAACACAGCCCAAAAAACGGATTTGAAAGCTTCCAGTTGTGATCCCTAATAAGAGTTTTTAAAGCTATGTTCAGAGTTTGAGTGAAAAGCCAAGGGCACTTTGGCAGTGGTGGTCAAGGCAGTCTCTCAGTTATAGGAAATGTTTTGTTTCTGTCAGCATTTTCTGCATTTTACTGTCAGCACTGATTTTTAGTATGTTTTAGCTTTTATTTGAGCTGTTATTGAGTGCCTGCCATGTACAAAGCCCTTAGATTCACATGATCTTATTTAACTTTTTCAATGGTCCTGTGAGGCGAGTGCCCTGTCCTCTTCTAACCACCGCCCCCATTCAAATGAGAATATGAGGCTAGAGTAGTTAAGTGACTTGATGAGGACTGCACTCTGAGCCAAGCAGAATTTGAAT